TTGCAAAATGCCCAAACTTATGTTATCGATATACAAATTTTGATATTTTATTTTTATTTTATATTATAGCCGGTGCTGAATAATCATCCCTATTCACGACTATCAATGTTCAACTTCGTAGCCCTGTAATTTCAAACCCAGCCCAGAAGACGAGGGGCGTCCTAGATCCAATTGATAAAGTGATTCTAATGTGCCTGAAAATATCAGTCAACAAACAATAAGTAAATAAATAAAAATATAACAGTGAAAAAGTAAATAAAAAGTTAGTTTACATGCACTGCAAAAATATTAATTTACCTGAACACCAAAAACGGTGTCAACTATGCATCGAAATTTTTACAGTGTACGTACGGGAGTAAAAATAATATTCAGAAAAAGCAGAGAGCAAATAAAATAATATTTCAACTCATTTTAAACTATCGCATTGAATTAACTTATATTTCTCAGTAACTAACTGTTATTTTTCAGTCTCCCCAAATAAATAAAAGGTGCCATTTTCAAAGATGAATTGCTTACTTTTTCATCATAGACCACCAGTCCTACCTAACTATAATTCGCGGCACACGCCAAAGTTAACCCCTAATTTTCCGACTACCACATGTTGCGTGTGGAAAGCAGGCGAACAAAACGGTACACAAAAGTTAGATTTTCGTAATAACAGGGTATTAGGTCAGATATTACCTTTCATGGAGTCGTGAACACGACGCCATTCCTAAACGATTCTTCCCTATAACTGGAGAAAAGTAGCGGGTAGCATGTGGTATATGACCAGCCATGGAACATGTTGCGCGTTGCATGATCGGTTTAGCAAGCGTAACTGAGGCAGTCTTTTACCGGTGACACCTGTTGAACACGTCACGTCGTTTTGTTAATAGACTGCTCGATATATATATATTTTTACTTTATTTTTTAATCATATGGGGAACTTTGATTGATTTTTTAAGGATGATTGAGTCTGTTAATTGAGACAAAAGCTGGAGTACCTGATGCAAATGCTCTCTTAAATAATAAAAGATGTATTAAGAAAATAATTGATTGGTTGTTGTTTTTTTTTAATTTGTGTACATTTAATAAAAAATGTATCAAATTCATGATTTAAATTTAGCACGATGCCTTCAAATTTTGTTATAAATACGGCAAAAATTTATTAGTAAACTCACAACTTTTTTATTATTATTGTTCATTATTTATCGAAAGGTTATGTACTCTTGTGAATCATCTTAGCACATCAATTTTAGTTTTAGTTTTAATATATAATACTTTGGTACTTTTCCATTTCGCCGGCGCAAGCGATAAAGTTACCGATGAAAAATCACCAGGTTTATGTTAATCTTATAACTGTCGTTGAACAACAGACCCAATTTTTTGGGTTTATGACTGTTAATGCTTAACTCCCTAGCCTAGTAATTTTGAACCCAATCCAGAAGACGCGAGAACTCCTGGATCAAGTATTGGGAGAAATTTGCCTTCGTATAGAATTTGCTTGTAGGAACTAATCCGCAATTGCGTTGCATGGTGAAGAAAGTCACGATAACCTCCCACGGTTAGCCTGACGGGAAGGGGACTCTGGCCCCATGATTCGTCTACCCCAGAGAATATTTTACGTCAGCGCTTTAGTCGGTGCGAGTCAGGCCCGGAATTCGTATCGACCAGCCATCTCTGGGATTTGAAGCGTTGCATTTTATTGGAAGGAGAACGCTCTATCCCCTGAACCATCCCGGCTCGATTTATGCTAATTCAATTTTTTTTTTCAGTACAGTCTATTTTAAAAAAAAACCTAAAAAAATAATAAAAAAATTACGGAATTTACTTGCACCGGCGAAATGGAAAAGCACCACTAATTTTAATGTATAATTATTTTTATGAAAGATTCAAATTTAATTTTTTTCCCAATGCTAACCTGGATATTGACATTTGTCTTTCGGATATCAAAACGGCATGATTAGTTAAACACTCATTCAGGGGCACCATATTGGTGGGCCAACGTTGCTCCCACAGTAAGAAGGACATACAGTACGGAGAATAAAGGGGAAAAACATCCATGCCTTGTCCGGCATTTAAACCCAGGCCCTTTTTAGACATGCAGTTCATTGATCACCATACAACTGGTTGACAAGTTTAAAAATCCCAGTTTTATAAGTATTTTTTTCTACATCGGTAATTGTTTTTATATCTAATTTACATATAATTAAAAATTTTATATAAATATGTAATTGTATTAATATTGTTATTCTTTTATATTTATCCTTTTTTCACAAAAGAAAAAAATCTGCATCAAATTAAAAATATAAATCATGTATAATGCCTTTAAATTTTATGTTAAACTTACAACAAAAACTTATAACCAAACTCACAATTTCTAAATATAATTATGTAAAATGTTCATTAAAATTTCAGGTAATCCTGTGAATCATAACAAATATAGCAAGTCTAGTTTTTATGTTTAACAATTAATACTGTATTAAAGAGACTTATGAAAATTTAGTACAAAATAAAGCTTGTTTTACGGGATACCTTTTTGAAATAAATTTTTTCTAAATCTTAAACACAAATCTTAATCCAATTTAAAATTCATATCTTCTAGCCTAATTCAAATTTTTAAAACTATGAACTTAAAGAAAACAAGTTGAGTGTTTGGAAGAATCCAAAATTTATTTACAGGAGTTCTGAAACCTTGTTGAACCATAATATTGATCAATTGCGCTCATTCATATTTGAACCACATTATCGGATTTGCATAATATCATTTTTTAATTGGAAGGAAATCGAGATTGAATATAAATGATTCAGCTGTTTTGAGTGATAGTGAGCTTGAAGCTTAATATAAATCAACGTTGAACCATTTTTTATTTATTTATTTATTTTTTGAAAGTGAGAAATAGTGAGAACAGAAGTATATGTACGAGTCATCAATAGATCTAATTTTGCCATTTTTGCAAAGCAACTAATGAACTTAAATTTCTTAACTATTTCCAGTTTTTTCCTTTCCATTTTTTTTTTTGGGGGGGGGTAAAATAGATTTTTTTAAGAAAAAACGAAATACCTTGAATAATTTTTGATCTAATAATCGCAATTTCACAATCCCTACTAGGACTTAAACTTAATGGTTCATGAAGGTGACCTCAAATATACTAATTAATTTGTGTGGACGATATTTTAAGTTACGAAACCAGACACAAAAGCGTACCATCTCTAATTATAAAAAAACCTTTGTTTCGACGGATTTATATTTCATATCCTCAAAATATGGCTTGTAGCCGCAGTCTGGGAAATTTGGCTCTGATAGTTTGGTCAGGACAGCGATCGAAAGCTTATACTCCATAATGTTAATTATGACTTGATTAATTAATAATGTAACCATACTGTTAATTATGGTTAATTATTTAGCCACTTGAAATTTTTTTCACACAATTATAAAGTTTATCCAAACGTTTATCCGATGATAAATTAACGCAATAAATGATTTTAATAATTATTTATTTATTTTTAGTGTTTTGCTTAATTAAAAAACATTTTGAAAAAAAAATTAACAAAAATTTTTTGAAATGTATGGCACGTTATTTTTTTTACCTCATTTTAAAGAAAATATTTTTACAAGGCAAAAAACAGAATTTGAAAGAAATCGGTTGTATGGTTCCTGAGAAATCAATTTTAAGAAAGTCGCATATTTAAAATTTGTGTTTCACAGGAACTATCAAGCAGACTTTTGCTCAAATTTTGTATTTTGCTTTGTAAAATTATTAAAATTGTTTGACTTACAATTCAACACAGACTTGCTTATTTTCACAGACAACAGGGAGGAAGGGTGCTCTAGTTATGCCTACATTAAACTCTGAAATTCCGTTATCTTCAATTTAAAAAAATAATAATAATTAAAAATGGCAGCAGCAATTTTGAACACCATCTGATTAGATGTTTCTCTATTTATTATGAGTAGTATTATGTTCTGCATTCAAACTATTTGATACTTAAATGATGTATTTAAACTATATGAAACGGAAAGATTTCGGAAAATCTTATAGACTTATAAAATTAAAGCTTAAATTCAGTTTTATGCGAAGTTACTCCTTTTATTTTAATTTAATCCTAAAATTCTTCCTAAAATCCTAAATTTCTATAGTAAACGTAGAAGTTAAAGCAAGTATGAAAAGGGGTGTTACTTAATTTTGCTAGCAAGAGGAGAAAGAGGGCTCAAATATGAGAGGGGAAAAAAATGCTTACATAATATTTTAATGGTCCCCAAACAAATTAAAAAAATTTTTTTGTCATCTTTCAGCCAATCTACTTAGCAACGAAGTTCTCAAAATTAAATTCAAATTAAAAATAAATAAATAAAAATAAATTAATAAATAAAAAATTGAAATAAATTATTCAAACTAGACAACAAACTGTATGTTTAACTTACATATGTCTTTCAGACGATGTAGATTATGCAAAATTACACTAACGAAGTTGTGGCAATTTTTAATTTTGACGTTTTAAGTTGTAAATATATCTTAATAATTTTCGCATGAATGTTCTACTTAAAAAAAAAATAATAAAAATAAATTGATAAATAAAAAATTGAAATACATTATACAAACTAGGCAACAAACTGCTTGTTTAACTTACGTATATCTTTCAAACGATGTAGATTACGTAAAATCAAACTTGCGAAGAAATTATGATAATTTTAAATTTCGACTTATTTTTTAAATTTATAGATAAATCACTACCTAATACGCAATTTTTTCCGAGCGAGGCCATATTAGTTTTAGCTGTTTTTTCTTAAAAGCATTTTAGATACTCGTTTGCGGTAAGAAAAAAAAAATCGAAAAGCCGTCAGAGCCGTTAAAAAACATTCTCTATCTAAATGTCCGAGAAAGAAGTCGAATATATTGGCAAAGACCCAATGAGACTAACTACTTGTCAAAAAACAGAGAAGGAAAAAAAAAGTAACTTTTACAGATCATCTCCTACGCATCAATTCAAGCTAAAGATCAACAGCATCATATATCCCCTTCTGAAAAGAAATAAAAAAAAGAAAAAGTAGAGAATAGAGGTGAAAAAAAATATTCCCATTAGAAATATATTATCCAATAGTAGCGGTCTACCTCTGCACAAATCCCTGTGTCCCACTCCTGGCATCACCCTGCTTCCCATTGGCTTGGATCTCTGTTGGTAGGCGTTCCCACCAGCTTTCAGCTCACTATATCTAATTCAGTTGGCACCGGCAATCTACACAAAATACTCTCTCAACTTAAATTGCGACTATCTTTTAACAAAAATTGCCCATATCGGTTATAAAACTTTTACAAGTCCGGTAAAAATCAATCAAGAATCCTGATCGGGAATTACGACTTCAAAAAAAGCAGATCACTTTGCGTGTGCACCAGGAAGTAAGTACCACTGATTGTTTCGTTGAAGATCTTGTATTTGTTCTAATTCGGGTTTTATTGGTCTTTATTAGACGGGTTGAAATTATTTAATTTAGCCAATCGAGCCTGCTTAGGTTTAATCATAGGACGCAGTAGCAAAGGAGATCAATGAATGAATATTGGATGTGATGTGTGTCTACTCAGGATATTTAATTAAGGTTCTGTTGAGGACATTTGAAAAGTTTTATGTGCTTGAGTCATGCTGTTAGTTGTTTTCTTAAGAACTGTAATAATAATTTCTTATGGTTTTTTTTTCTTCTCTCCTCTTTTGACAACGAGTCATCTTAGCTGATTAAAGCTGTGACATTTCAAATCAGCATTCATTAATAAAAATTTATTAAAGAAGGAGTATTTAAAGAAGTAAACGGATTCGTTTTACTTATTCAGAAAATTTTCAACACACTTAGAGGTATAACACTTCTCGTCGTGAGAAATTGGATATAAACAATATAAACGATCTTTTTACCTTGGATTGAATGTAGTGTAATACTGCTTTATTTAGGGGAAGATTATCATTTTATCACTTTGCTACTCAAATGCTCAATGCTATTTTGTATTAGGTTTTTGAATCTCCGTGTGAATTGAATTGAAAAGGAAAAATTATCACTTTACTTCTTAAATACTATCTTATACTATTTTTGAATGAGGATTTTTTTTAATCTCTACATGACTTGAACTGAATCTAGTCTAGCATTTAGGGAGAGATTATCACTTTATTACTTTACTATTTAAATGCACTCTAATACTATTTTCATGAAAATAAATCTCTACGTGATTTGAATTGAATAATATGTCACTTAAGGAAAAATTATCATTTTTTTTAATTTTACTTTATGAAATCACTAAAAAACTATTCTATATGAAGTTTCTTTAAGCTGTGAATGACCTGAATTGAATTCAGTTTATTATTACTGACAAACGGTTTTCAATTTTACTGTTTTACTGCTTAGATGCACTCAATAATATTACTTTGTATGAGGATATGAGTCCTTAAATTTCATCATGAATGGAATAAAATAGTCTTACTACTACTTTTAATATTTACTTATATTACTTTGTATGAATAAGAGGTTTTAAATTTCTACATGGTTAGAATAGAGTCCATACTAGTATTTTATACACTTTCATTACTTTTTTATAATTAAAGGAGTTTATACATCTCTAAGTGACTTGAATAGAATCCAGTCTTGTTAATACTTCATTTAATGAAATATTATCACCTTATCACTTACTTTATTAATTAATTAAAAATTCTCTCATGTTGTTTTTATGAGGTTTTGAAATCTAGAATTGAATCTAGTCTACATGACTAGAATTGAATCTAGTCTATACTGAGAAAAAAAATATCACCAAAACTACTAGAAAATGGTAAATTTTACAGTGATTCTGTCTCTATGGGAACACCGAAAAGCTCGGTAATTTTTACCGGAATGCTTTGGTAATATGGTTAATAAAATATGGTTTTAAAATGAGTGATAAAATTTGGTAAATGGAGTAAAATTTGGAATGAGAATTATAATTTTGTGAACCAGAATTCCCGGTAAGCCGTGATCAAGAATAAGTGCCGAAAGAATATTTTAAAAACAATATATTTTAGTTCTTATTAACAAAATTATGTTTTTTTTTTTGTTTTTTTGGTGGGAAAAAAAGTATAAGTGTTATTAATACAGTATGTTAGTTTTACCAGCATTTTTCTTTCTCCTTGTACTATTATCTTACTTAAGAAAAGATTATCACTTTATATTAAATAAATACACTCTAATATTATATTTTATTATATTAACAGTATGAGTTGGACGGAAATATTAATTCGACTTTCAAACTAGACCAAATTTTCAATATTATATTTAATGAAAAATAGTATTATTTATTATTTATTGTTTCACTTTTAACAATTTCGTAAATTAAAAATTTAATAAATATTAAATAATTACTCACAGTTTTAAAATAAATAGTTAGTACTAATTCAAAAAAACAAACATTTAATTAAATGCCTTAAAATACATTCGTATTTTTGTGAATTTTAAAATTGTGTATGATGTATTAAGCGATCTTGCCATGATTTGAATGTTGGTTAGCTCTTTTACAAATATGACGGTATAACTCTAAAATATATTTTTCTTACAATTACATTATTTGTTCTTTCGAGTGATATTATATTTAATAACAATTTTACTGCAATAATTAAACATGCAAATGAAATTACTGCAATTTAGACAGAAGTGTTTTATACTTTGATCGCCATCTTATAACTTTTTTTTAAAGCAATTTCAAATGGCAAATTAAAAAAATTCTTAATTTAAAAAGGTCCAGAGAAAATTAATATTCAAAAGAATTTCAAAACATAATCAAAAAAAATTTCATTTGATTTCAAATGATCGTTAACAATGCTTTACAATATTTATAAAATAAAGTCTCTGAATTTATTTATAAATGCATTTCATTCAAATCGTAAGACAGATTTTTTGTTGTTGATGTTTTTTTCTCTTGTGATTTAATTAATTGTATTAAATTAAGTTTAAAGATATTTATTATAAAAATTTTTTCATCAAATGAACCATTATTTTTTTACAAATACTTACATTTAAAAGTATTTTATCTTACTTCATAATGTGAACAATGATGTAAACAACGCATTATTAATACAATGTGTACAGCATTTTCTTATTCCCAGGAAAGGCGATTTAATTTGCACATTATTTAATTTGCACATTATTTCATTAAATAAAACTGATATATTAAAATATTTTTTCCTTAATATTTTCTTATCTAATATTCTTATAAGTGAATGCAATCAAATTTTAAAATATTTCATTAAAAATATATAAAATTCAGGCATGTCATGCACACTTGCATGTTAATAACAATTTAATTTATGCACACTTTCTATAATTTAACAAATATATTTTTCTTCGTACAAACGTATAATTTTCAAATCAATATTTCTTACTCATACCCTACTTATTCATTTGTTCTTAGTATCTTCAAGTTATCTGAAAAAGTAAACTAATTGATTGCTCATAATACAAACAAAATATAATTATCTATAATAGTAATTTACAACAAAAGCCTACATTTTCATAAATCTATTAAGTTTAGTAAAAGAAAACGTTAAAAATTATATCTATAAATCCATTGCTTCTACTTTTTTGAAACAAAAATATTACATGATCATTTAATTGTATTTCTTATTTAAGTCATTTTTAATCATCCTATCAAATAATCCATTAATCAAAGAGACCATTTGGAGAGCGCTCTATAAATAAAGACAATTTGTAAGAAACATTTTTTAAAATAATTTTTAAAAAATATCTTTCTCAAAAGATGACTATTTGCCATAACAAAATTTAAATGTACTTACTGATGTTTTAGCTCTGTAAATGTGTACCTCTTACTGACATTACTATTACTAATGTACTAACACTAGAATTACTAGCATACTTACATTAAAATTACTAGTGCACTTACATTACAATTTTCAGCGTTGCAAGTACTTGAATAGCTGTTGATTTTAAATTAAAGAGCATCATTTTGAATTAAAACTATTTTTTAGGGTATATTTTTATCTAATTAACACATTGTTTGATCAAACTCAATGAAATTAATTAGCATAATAACTTGTTTTGCAATTTAGAATTTGTAAAACAATTCTGAAAAATATGAATATTATATTTCTAACCTTCTTTCAAGTAATTTTCTTAGTTTTTTTTCTTTTTAAGTAGATTAAATTATGTTGGGGGATTTTAATTCCATTGCAAAATAAGTGATGTAAATTACTATTAAAACAAGTTTTGCTCTTCGATTGTTTTTAACAAAGTTCATCAAAATGTAAATTTAAAATTATTTCAAATATTTAGTTTTAATATTAACACAAATAATAACATTTATTCATTGAATAACGTTCTTAATTGATTGAAATATATTTTCTTAAGCTCTTCAACGAGTGCAATTCATTTAAATGTTTGCAGTAAACAAATCAAATATAAAGCCGAAGAAAATTGCAACGTTTTAAATAAATAAACTAATATGATGTAAAATAAAATGCGACTACACATAATAATTAATAGAGATATGACACCTAGTACTATACTTATACTTTATTTAATGAGTTTAAGTACTATACTTATACTTATACTTTATTTAATCGTCATAAAGTGCAATTTAGTTAAAAATTTAAGAAAATTCTAAAATAAATAAATACAAGAAAATGCAATTCTTAAATATATAATAATCTGAGAAAATGTAAACAGCACAATATTGCAGATTATAAAATACAACTAATATGTGAGTATGTTTTTGAATGGTGTTCTAACTAATATGTTATTAAAACCATTATTTGTTTAAATTATATACTCACAATTACAATCAGCAAAAAGTACAATTGGCTTTAAGATTTGGTAGAATTCTAAGAAATAAAAATGATATAAATGATAATAAAAAATAAGCTAAGAAGTTGTAGAACTATATATTTTAAAAATATATTACTGCGTATGACATATTACTATTATAAAAATATATAGTATTTAACTCTTTATAACAAAGAGAACATAATATTAATTAAATGGTAATATTTAATTTATTTACAAAACTTTTACATTGAGATACTCAAAATTTTCTTAAATTAACCAATGATGTTCGAAAAATCTTAAATTATATTTAAAAATTTATTTGTTGTAACATTTTCTTTCGTGAAATATGATTAATTAATTTTTGCTTGTTCGGACTTTAGTACCAATTATGTAACTACTTAATTATCTTCAGTTCCAATTACTTAATTATTTACCCCTAATACCCCTTTTCCTTGGCGAGGATGGGAGAAACAATACATTAATTATCTTAAGCATGGTTGTGGTAGTATAAAGTGAAGAAGAAAAAAAAATTGGTACTATTCCGTTTCGAAAGGCTATAGAAAATTCTCTGAACTATTATTGATGCCAATTATTATTAATTAATGTTGGTAATAAATACAACTAATATCATGGTAATATTAAGCAGAGTCTTAAGACCGTGATGGCTCAAGTAATAGAGTGCTCGCCTCCCAATGAGGTGACCCGGGTTCAATTACCAGCGATGCTGGTCGATACGAATTCCCCACGCGGCTTGTACTGATTGCAGCGCTGACGTAAAATACCTTCAGAGGTAGATGAATCATAGGATAGAATCTTCTTGCTGACAGGCAAACGGGGGTCCTCCCCGAAAAGTCCTCCATGAAGGCAAGTTTCTCCCAATACTTGATCCAGAAGTTCCCTTGCCTTCTGGATTGAGTTCAAAATGAAAAGGCTGCGTAGTTGAACCTTGGTAGCTGTGACTATAAAAACTCAAATTACATAAAATACGCAACAACAATAGTGTTTTATTTATTTGAACCTACCCTTATTTTTCAGGTTAGTATGCAATCAGGATCAAAACAATCTGAAAACAGAGGAAACTTCCACAGTATACAAGTTATGCTCGGACTTCAACAAGAACTGGGTTGTCAGCAACATGATGCCATTGCTGCAGTATCAGCTGCTTTGGGCTATAGTCCCCCACCAGGTCATCCTCAACAATCTCTCTCGTTTGGAGTTAGCAGTCCTAGTACTATGAGTAGCAACATGCTCGGTGGTATGACGCAGCAGCAATATACAACTGCCAGACTCAGAGATGGCTTTGCGGAACTCGCAGCTACCAAAGATTCAAATGGTAAAATAAATCATTTAAAATTATTTATTCACTTTTTAAAAAGACATTTGCAAGTTTTAAAAGTTAAATTGCTTGAGATTTTTCTTTCCATTAAAAGCATTAAAAAAATTACTTACGACTGGTTTTTAATATTTGTTAAATATTTTAACAGTAGGTCATCCTATTCATCAAATTCTCAACTGTTACCAGTTTTGCTAAGTTGAGATGTTACTTATCGCATTAGATCTTGGAATTTAAAATTTTATCACTTAACTATATTTTTGAAAAATTCTTTTTCTCCCACATTTTTCTTTAGCTATAAAAAAATAGAATAATGATAATAATAATTTGTAGTCTATGTGCTGCCTGATTAGATAATATGATTTATTTAAGTTAAGCTGTCTAGTGTTTAGCAAATGAATTTATCAATTTATAAATTTGATCAAATATGTCTATATTTTTAATTCCGTGTGTATCTTGTAATATCAATTAAAGAATACCTATAAACAGAAATTGCTTACAGATATTTTTTTTTGAAAAAAATTTTTTTCTTCCTTTTCTCTTTTGTTTTTTGAAATATTGTCCAATGTTAAAACTGCTTGTTTTTGATAAAGTTGTTTTGTTTTATGTGTTATTTTATGTGTTAGCTATTATTTTATGAGTAAAAACAGCTTGTCTTATAGTAATTTTGTGTTCACGGTGATGTATGAGAAAAATGTACTCATATAATATGATTATAAGTTTTTAGCTATTTTAATTAAAAATAGGTAAATTTGAATACAAAAAGAGAGTTAATTAATATTTGAGTATAATATGTGAGATATATATCAGCTTAAGACCATAAATTTTTGTTGAATCTGCCATGAAAAATAATATAGTTCACACTCATAATGATTTTTGAGCATAGATATGCATGAGTTTGAATAAACGTGAGTTTAAATCTAAAAAATGAAAAGAGTGCTGATAAATTATTCAAGACAATTAGTTGAAGGTTTGTATTTTTATTATTTTTTCAGATAATGTAAAGCAAGTCAACTCTGCTTCTGACAAAAATTCAGGAACGGCCAGCAGTACAACAGAAAAAGCTGTAAAAAAGAAAAAGACAAGGTTAGTTGGTATTCAATAAGTGAGAGTTTATAATCCATTAATAAATTAAAATTATAAATGGGTGCAACTAATTAATGTCTAATGGGATTATAACTCATTAGATAAATCTGAATTTGAAATTAAAAAATGTAATTTTAGTGCAGTTTGGATACATTGCAAACATACAATATTTAAGGAAACTAGTCCCCTAACATATCAGTATCCTTGCTTGCAAGTGAAATATTTATTTATTTATCTACTCACTTAAAGCTTATGTTATTACTATTACAGTAAAGTAAGAAAATGACTTTTTCTCAGTGAGAAAGATAATTTACTTTAGTTTAATAATTTATTCTCAATTTTTATAATTTTTAATTGAAAGTTTTTGAAAATTATTATGAAATTTTGCTTTTATAAAGCGCATTTAAATTTTTAAAATACTTTTATTTGATTGTTTAAAAGATGAATATAAATTCTTTAGTGTAAAAAATATTTTCGTTTTAAAGTAGAAAAGTAATGAATTTTCTTTTAAATACCGAGATACATTTTAACGTTTAAAATTCAAGAGCTAGTAAGTTAAAATTAAATATTTGTAATACCAAAGCTACAAATGATCAATTCAATTATAATATTAATGGAAGTATAATTTTTAAAGAATTCAGAAAATATTTTATGTCTCATTTTTCTATTAATATTTTATGTGATCTTTCAGGAATGACATTTAAAATGCATTATATTATATAGAAATCATTATTTTTCGACATAAATTTAAGTACTTAATTTGATGATATTTCTTTCTTACCATTATTTAAATCTCAATATTTATCAAACGTTTGACTATAAAATATCAATTTTTTTTTTATTTTTAAGACAGACTTAAAAATAATTTCTTGCGATATCAACCGAAAAAATACAAGTTTGCTTATTTATTTGTTAACAAATTTACTAGCATTCAATAAAATTTACTATCATTTATGAAATACAATTTGAATAATAATTTTTTTCAGATTTCAGCAAAACTTTATATTTAAATAACTTCTTTTTTGCAATTTTCCTTGCGTCTTAAATGTAAGGTTTGTTCCAGCTTTTTTTTTTTGTACGTAAAACAAAAAACGGACCCTTAAAGTAGGATTCGTTCAGCTTTTTAAAATTTAAGAAATTAAAATAATTATAGTATACACACTTTTTTTTGAAAAATGTTACAAGCAGGTAAAATTTATGATTAGTGGGTGTGCAGATAATATATATATATTTTTTTGATTGTAGAACAACGTTCACGGCCTATCAGTTGGAAGAATTAGAAAGAGCATTTCAGAGAGCACCATATCCAGATGTTTTTGCTAGAGAAGAATTGGCAATGAGGTTACAACTAAGTGAATCTAGAGTTCAGGTACGATGCATTTTATTTTTATTTTAAATCATTTTAAGAAAATAGACTTTGTGAAATTGGTTTACATCATATATCCATCGACATCGCATGTCCCTATTTTAAATAGTCTTATTTTAAAATAGAATCTACTTTGATAAGGCAACTTATTTAGAATTGTCTTATATATATTTATTTACAAGACTGATTGTCTACTTTAGTAATACAGTTTACATAGAATGCAGATGCAAAACTAGATTTACTCTTAATATAAGAGCAGAATATTGAAATGGGGGGCTGTTCAAAGATTTTAAGGGGGGGGGAGTTTGTGAGATTTTTTTTTGTTGCTAAAAATAAGAAAGGAAGTGTATGGGCAATGCTTACTTTAGATATAAAATTACCCCTTCCCATTTTAAATTTTTTTAAATGCAAACAAATAAAAAAAAGATGAAGAAAAAAAACATTTCTGAAAATATCAAATTTGACAGTTGAAAAAAAATTCGTCTAAATATTTCCAAAATTCTAGAAAATAGATTAAAACATTAACTTTTTTCGTAAAGTTTCATAATTTAATTTTGCATTTTTTAAAATTACAATATTGTTGTTTGTGCGTTAGTTAAATCAAAAAAAGGGAGTTGATGTACTTTCTTAAATTTCTAAAAAAAATTCTACATTTTACTGACAAGGAGAGAAGGGAAGTCTAATAGTGCCAAAAACATGCTCATTTGATTGGTTCAAAATTCGAATAGAGGATTGGAATTCGTTTGAACATAAATTGAAAAAAAATAGAAGATTTTTTAAGGGCAATTTAACTCGTTAAAATTATATGCAAAGTTATTTTATTTCTGAAAATATTTGCAATTCAAAATACACATAACATACAAGAAATAATAAACTTAATAACCTTAGCATACATATTTTTTTTAATGAAATTTTTTTTCCAGTTTATTTGTTACAGATTGGCAATGCCATGTTCATCAAAGTTTATGCTAACAACTTATGCTATGCTTAAAAGTTTAGGACTAAGATGCTAAAACTAAATCTTTAGGTTTTAAAATGAATTAAAAACAATTTATCCTATTTTATTTTATAAACAATTTATATTATAGGATATATTACGTAAAATTATATCGATAATAAGGTTTGTGAAAGTACTCTATTATGAAAGACACATTTGAAAATGATGCAAAATAAAGATTCAAGGTTTATGAATTCGATGAATACTGAAAAAAGATGTTAGTGCAAAAAAAGAAAAGAAAAATGGGTGCAGAATTTAAAAATTCGTTGTATTAAACATTAAGTGTTAAAAAGCATTTCCATAAATCTGCCAGGAATTTTAAAAACACTTTTTATCATTGAATTCACAACAAAATGTAACATTTAAGCATTTAATCCTTTAAAATTTTATCCCCATAATCTTTTGATTGAACTCAAATAATCATTTACTGCTCATAAATTGAATTTCCTTTACTTTGTAATGATATTTACAAGTATGTTTTCTAAAATTCTGGGTTTTTAAAAATATAGTAAGTGTTTAGTAAATTGCTAATTACATTACTAAAATGAATGAAAACTTATTATTAATTGAATGTTATTCACATGTTTAACATGAAGTAATTTTTTTTAGGTATGGTTTCAAAACAGACGTGCAAAATGGAGGAAACGTGAACCACCGAGAAAAAACAATTATTTACAAACAGGTATTTAATTTGCATATTATTTTTGAAAAATGCATTAAATATTTTTTTTAATGTTAAATAATTATTTAAGAAAGCGCATTAACATACCATATTTTATTAGATAAGATGTTATTACTGATAGATTAATATTTGTTTCTATTAAAGGCATAAAAAAATATTTCTTTCAATTTTCGTTTTATTGCTTAAATTATCATTTAAGAACTGTTAAGGAATAACAAGCATATTCTTAAATGCATGAAAAGTGTGGCATACTGCTAAATTTTGAATTTTCATGGTTGCAGCTAAATGAAAATATTGAGAGCGAGAGAATTATTTAAAAATTACTTCAATAAATTTTGTCTTTTTTTAAGCAAAAGAATTAACAGGAGTATTAGTAAAATTTGAAATACGTAATATTATTAAACAATTATTTAATTTTTTAAAAATATTTGTGGCAGCAAATGGATTATGAATGTATAAGTAATGTATATTAAGAGCTTTGATATATAATAATGAAAAATTCATTAAATTATTAATCCATTATTCCTTCTAATTTCGTAAAAAAATTACTAATAGTGATAAATAATTGCAAAAATTTGATTTATATTCAATTCTTTTTCTTAATATTTCATTGGTTTCGTTAAAGAATGTCCTTTTAATATTTTATATGCATTTTCAAAATTAAAAGCTTTATTTTGTTGAAATTTTTATTTAACACATTTCTGTTAACATTTTGTATGCATTTTTTCAACAAATATACTTTCTAAATTTAGTTTCTACTAAAAAAAACTAACTATCTAAATAGTGGAAGAAAATATTTAATATGCTCCACGCACAAAGTATTTTAAATAAATTCGTAATCATTGCTTATCTTAAAACAATATTGAGGAGCAATTTAATTCAAAAACATCAGCTTTGTAAATGGTGGCTAAAAGGTGTTTATAACTCAAACATTAATAGATTAATTATTTATAATATTTATCTTATTATGTTTGTTTTCATTTTCTATGGAGAATTTAAATAATTTTTTCTTACAGCCACATCAACTTCAATGACAAAAACCTTCGCCAACACCGCCCCTTTACCATCCTTGTCTGCAAACATAGACAGCGGATGGGCTAGTTTCACCTCGAATCCGTACGAATTTGGCTTTCAAAACGCTCTTGCAACATCCCCTTACACCGGATTCTCGACAAATCCTCATAGCAATTTATCCACGTCCTCCGCCACTACCGGATTCTATGGTGGAATGATTTCGCAGGGAGATCCTCTTTTGCCGTCTCTAACCTCCACTCGATCTGATTTGCATCACAATTCCGTTCTTAATAGGTCGCCAAGTCCACCTATGGAAAATATCTCATCACGTTCATATGGTGGAAGCCCAAACAATTCTGGCGACAAAAAACTCAGTGGACTTGTCGGACTTGATGCAGCTGATGTTGATCCTCATCGCTTGACTTCCCTTCCACCTCTTATGCTCAAAAGTAAGGACAATTCCGTGTCACCATTACCGTCACTAGATTTCTTTACTTAGGCTTGCAGAATTTTTTTCATGTTCTTGAACTGAGTAAAATTAACCTACGTAAAGAAGGCATGAAACTGTTTGAAATTACATTTGAAAATGTATGGTGTGAAAAAAGTGTTGTAATGTATGGGGTAAAAATAGTAATGGTGACACAATTCCTTGTCACCATTACCGTCACTAGATTTCTTTACTTAGGTTTGCAGAATTCTTTGCGTATTCTTGTACTGCGTACAATTAACCTACGTAAAGAAGGCATGAAACTGTTTGAAATTACATTTGAAAATGTATAGTGTGAAAAAAGTGTTGTAATGTATGGTGTGAAAATAGTAATGGTGACACAATTCCTTGTCACCATTGCCGTCACTAGATTTTCTTACTTAGGCTAGCAAATTTCTTTGCATGTTCTTGAACTGCGTAAAATTAATCTACATAAAGAAAGCATGAAACTGTTTAGAGATTTCATTTGAAAATGTATGATGTAAAAAAAGGGTTGTAATGTATGATTTATAAAAAGTAATGGCGACACAATTCCTTGTCACCATTACCATCACTAGATTTCTTTACTTAGGCTTGCAGATTTCTTTGCATGTTCTTGAACTGCGTACAATTAATCTACATAAAGAAGGCATGAAACTGTTTAGAGATTACATTTGAAAATGTATGATGTAAAAAAAGGGTTGTAATGTATGATTTATAAAAAGTAATGGTGACACAATTCCTTGACACCATTACCATCACTAGATTTCTTTACTTAGGCTTGCAGATTTCTTTGCATGTTCTTGAACAATGTAAAATTCAACTACGCAAAGAAGATATGATACTGTTAAGAGATTACATTTGAAATTTTTGGTGCAAATAAGAAAGTGTTATTTTTAAGCCGTATGTATTAAAATGAAGTGTAACTAAGAACGGGGAAATGTGTAGGCTAAAAATGCATGAAACATTTTTACATTATGTACAGTATTTTTACACCGTGTAAAATATTTTGCAATTGTATACCATGCGTGTTACAAAGGGAGGTATCAGAAATGTCATTGATAAGTCATATTATCTTTCATCTCAAATCATTTAGGTTTAAAAATACCTAAATATTTTCTTGCTAATGATGATAATTTTTTTTTTGTTTATTTAGCTTTTTTCCTTGATCGTGAAGATAATTTCCATCTTCTTTTAAAGTTTCCATTCCTTCCTTTTATATTGAATAAAAAAATGTCCAAATTTCAGGATTTTGGCGATAAAAGAAAAGTTAATAGTTTTAAATTTACTTTGAAAATAATATAAGAATATTGCTTCGGAAAAAAGAACTATATTCGTATTGGATATGGCGGCATATTATAAAATTTGAAGAGAATTTGAGCAAATTAATTATGATGTAATTTTTTATTCTCTGAAATTTCAAAAATAAATATTTTCTTAATGAAAGAAAATAGGTTTAATCATTTTTTACAAATTTTTTACTATTTTTATAATAGGTTTGATTATTTTTCTTAAAAATTTAGATTATAAAAAGTTATTTAAAAGTGTCACCTTCAGTTTCTTCTTTATAAGTAAATTAGTTGATAGAATAAATAATTGACTTGTATTGAAATTATTTTTAAAAAAATTTATAAAGTTTACTTTTTGAACTTGAATTAGATTATTTAAAAGAAGATAAGGTAGTTCTAGGAAGGCAAAAAAGAAGATAATGGTATCTCATTTCTCGAAATAGTAAACTAAAACTCATTTTAACAAAAATCATTTTTTATCGAAGCATAAAATTTTATATAAGCATTTTCATTGTTCAAGAAAATCAACTAAGTGTGTTAACTGATTGTACATAGTTTGAACATTTAGCGTAAGTATATCTTTCAAATTGAAATTTCGAAAAATATTGTTTGTTTAGTTTTTCTCTTTTGTGCTATCAATAAAAATGTTTATAGTCATACAAAATAAAATATTAAGACATTTGTACAGATGTAATATCATATGTATTATGTACGCTTACTGCACATCGCAATTGGCAACACCATAGTGCCTTAAACATGGTTTTACACTACAATTTTACGTATTTTTTTCGCTCAATTGTGTTGTAAATACAAATTTTGTCTTTTAAAAAGTTGAATGTTAATTTTTATTGTACCTTGAATTGTTCCAATATTTATGTAAACTTTGTATAAAGCTTAAATTTTAACAAAATTCTCGATTATTACTTCATGTTTGTACTCTTTATATAATAAAACTATGAGTTTTTATTGGTTTTGTAGTTTTTCTCTGGTTTAATATTATGTTTTTTAGAGCTTGCACTAAGGATTTCAATTTATTATTCAGTAAATTAGCAATTATCAAAAGTATTTACTAATTTTCGAAAGTTTTCTCCAAATACAAATCTTAATAATTTTTTATGATTAATTTTCCACCATAGAAATCTATATTATGGTAGTTTGTTGCCGGCATATATTATTTGGATTTAATTCTAATTGGTTATGAGGCGTATCTACCGAAAATTTCATGTAATCGAATAAAAAAATACTGATTTGTTTGGAAAAATTCCTTTTGACGATATTTTAAGGATCGAGGATATATATTTTTAAGGATATATATTTTTTTAAGGATATATATTTTTCTTTCCAGTGGAAAAAAAATCATTCTCTAATACTTTCGCCAAAGTACGATTTCATTCGCCAAATATACGATTTTATCGCATTTGGCGAGGTGGTGAATGCTTAGCGTGGGCTCTAGATTTTTATTATTGCAAGTAAGAAAACAATAAGAAAAAAAACTTTTTATAAAAGTTGGTTCTGTAAAATTTGATCAAAACTTTACCGAAACAAAACTTTACGAAAACAGATCACTAAACACAACATCCTATTAATGATACAGTATAGAATTTAGATATATAGATATAGATAGTGTTTTCCATTAATTTAAATGCTAAGAAAAAAAGCAACGATTAAATTTCCTTAAGAATGCATGCTTCTTCATATATGCTCTTCTTCAAGGTTTACACTTCCTCAGTTGTTTCCAGAATATTCTAATTAATCTAATGAAACATTAAACAAGGGGGTAAACTTAATATTATTCTATACAATTCAAAACAACTTATGACAAAAATGAACGAATAATAATAATTAGGGGTGTGCAGCTAACTACACTGTAAAAATTCCCTGATCAAATTACGGTATAAAGTACCAGTACTATAGGTGCTTCATCTGTGAAATCCATTTTTACCATGAAATATTATACTATAATTTCACAATATCTATTAAATTAAAGTGATTGATTAGACGATAATTATTATTATAAATTTTCGGTATATTTGGTTTTCTGCTCCAGTAAAATGGATTTTATGGTAAAAAGCACCGGTTCCTTGAGTGTCGGTACTTTTTATCGTAAAATGATCCGGAATTTCTTACAGTGCATTTGGGCTGGAATCACTTGAATCACTACAGAAGTAGTAGCTTAAGCAGTAGTCATCAAAATTTAAAAATTTTACCAGAATAATAATTATCCCCAAGGAAATAGTTTTTTTATTTTATTATCATGCGTAATTTCCCAATAATAAATGTCAAAGGCACAAGTAACTCTGAGGATTTTTCTTATGTGATTTCACAGTTGTATAAGTGCCTAATTTTAAACTGACATCGTAAAATTTAAATGTTACAGTTTTATTTAGTTAACAGCATAGACTATCAAACATTTATATATATATATATATATACAAANTTTTTTTCTAAACCAATATAAATAAAACAGCAAATAATAATCGTACATTTTAAAGCAGTAAATGTTTTTCTTCTTCTTCTTTTTATTTTTTTTAATTTTTATTTTGATATATGAGCAACTGCCATTAGATAAAATACTGGTCATTAACCATTCTATGCAAATATTTAAATGTTTTACATTTATGATATATATTTTTCAATCCAATTTAATTTAACCGTATCCAGTTAAATATTTTAAATTAATCACAAAGGAATTATTTAAATCAACATGTTATAGATTGTATATGTATAGAATGTCATAGATTTTCATAACATGAAAAGTGATAAATTATCCATAAACGCAAGACTTAAATCGTCTTTTTATAGTTTTGTGCTACTTTTTTAAATCATATTTATTTTTTTTCTTCGAAAAATAGACGTAAAATATTTGAATACATTCATGCACTCAAAGGAAAATGTTATACTGCCAAATTATTGCTTATTTTGGATGAAGGTACACAGTAAAAAAATCAGGATCAAATTACTCTAGAAAGTACCGACATTTAGAGTGCCGATATTTTTTTCCCCCGTAATATCCCTTTTTACTGGAATATGTAGCGGATAATAAAATCTGATAAACAGTAATGACATTTTTACAGTAATAATTACCGTAAAATCACTTAATCACTGTAATATAAATAAATATTACTGCAAAAATTACGGTATAGTGATTTAAGGAAAAAAAAGGATTTTACGGATGATGCACCCAAAATGTCGGTACTTTATACCCTAATTTGGTCCGGATGTTTTATAGTGTATGTTTTCAATATTACGTAAGATGAATACAATACTGTGATTGCAAGCTATAATATTACAATAATGATTTGATTCGGATATACAAGAATAATGTAAAAATAGAATAATAAAACTTAGTAAGACAATTTTAAATAATTGAAACAATATTTACAATTGTGATTATAAAATAATTCAAATATATTCCCATTTCAAAATTAATAAGTTTTAAAATTTCACTATAAATTTTAAAGTATTTTTAGTTTAATCATTTGATTGTAACAAATGTCTAAATTTGATGAAAATTAAGATCCTTTTTGATTACTTTTGCTAAAAATTATCAAAATATTGCTTTTACTCTAATAGAAATTCGAAATTTAAATTTTATTATATGAGATGTTTTGTTTTTAAATATAATGCGATTTTAAAAGGATTTTCCTCTTATAGAAATTTTTAATTGCAATTTGTAAGCTTTACTAATCAAAATAAGAACAAATCTGTTGGGTTTTTTTCCGACTATATTAAAATTAATAAAAAAAATTATGACTGATTTTGCATTTTTATTCTTTTTAAATCTTGCAGAAAATATCCGTCATAGAAGAAAATGTAACTGTAATTTTAGTCTCTATTAACCAATAATATATTTATAATGAATTTTACCAGATAGATTGAGAATATTATAGAATTGATCAAACAGGAAAAAATCTCGAGTTAAATAGTGCAGTTTAACTGTTAAATCAAATGACTTAAAAGTAATTGAAACCTTAAACCAATAAAAATTTAAAATTAATGTAACTTTCAGCTTAGGTAGAAATACTTAAATTAGCTAAAGTAGAAATCAGCTAAAGTAGAAATACTTAAGTAGAAAACACCTTTTTTCATGGAAAACTAGAAATAGGCATATTTATAACTAATAGGTAATGTATTCTTCTGTCTGTTAATGTTAATAGTTTTTTAAATATTAAGTAAGAAAAAGTTATTGCGAAAAAGAAAAACAAAAAGATTTCCTCTTTGAATATTGCAATTTAATATTTTTTTTAGATAAAAAAGTAAGAATAATCTCTGTTTGTTTATGAAGCATATTTAGTTAATTTTACTTATTTCTCAGATATATAGAACTCTTGTGGCAACATAGTTTTACCAGCTCTATCTATTTATTAATAAACCCCTTTTAAGAAATACCTTAACATGATAACTCCGGCTGTTTCTAACTGTTAATAAACTCTCTTTGTTTAAGAAATACCTTTACATAATTTTATTAATTTCACTCATTTATTTAACTTTTTTAACAACATAATAACTCCGACTATATCTAAAAGAAATAGCATTCTGCATACAGAATACTAATAAATAAGGCCATATTGCAGTAATGTTTTCTAAATTTAAGTTAGCTTTAAATAATAAAAGTACTGTTATTTTTAATTACAATTTAATTCTATTCAAATCTTTAAGAATCTCTAACGATTTATGAGAAAGATAACCATCATAACTAGAATATCGAGCGTTTTCATTAGGAACTAAATTGCCAAATGAAGAACTCGAATTAAGGCAATATTGAGAGCAATGCTCTAATCATTCGAGAATGTTCGACAACTGTAAATTTCGCTATAACATTTTGTTCGCATTCAATGTTTAAACATCTATATCGAATAATATAACTACATAAACATCAATTCCAAATTTGATCATTTTTTCGTTTGTAACAAAAAAATTATCAAGTATTAAAAAAATTCTTGAGATGATATATAATTAGCTCAAAATTAACCAATGAGCGTGTGTTTATTGAAGGAAAGGTTTGAATTTCTAAATCATTCGATATTCTTCGACAACCTTAAATTTTGTTATAACATTTCATTCGCATTCGATGTTTAAACATTTATATGGAAGAATATAATTATTTAAGCATGGATTCCTAATTTGATCAGTTTTTTTTGTGTATATCAAAAAAAATTATCAAGTACGAAAAATAATTCCTGAGATGATATATAATTAGTTCAAAATCAATCAATACACGTGTATGCTTAGAAGGATAGGTTCTTATTCCTAAATCATTCGATATTGTTCGACGACCATAAATTTCCTTATAATATTTTGTTCTAAGTTCATGTTTAAGCAGCTATTTCGGAGAATATAACTGTCTAAACATCAATTCCTGATCTGTACATTTTTCTCAAAGAATAAAAAAAACAGATGATATATAATTAGCTCAAGATCACTCAATACATGTGTATACATGGAAGAAGGATAAGTTCGAATTCCTAAATCACTCGATATTGTTCGACAACCATAAATTTCATTATCATTTTTTCATATGTGCAGCTGCAGAGAGAAAGAAAGAAGGTTCGAAGGAAAGATATCATGTGATTGGTGCGTCATTTGGATTCCTCTGCTTTGTTCTTTTACGCCATTTTTATTTTTATAGGCTACGAGAAGATGATTGGTGGCGACTCATTGCCTCCACTAATCAAATATAATTGAGGAAGTCGCTGCTACACTAATTCTCCGTTAGCTCTCTCATCAACTCTTGAAACAGAATAGACAAATGGGTTGCCGCAACGGAAAAAAAATATTCAAGTCTGCATTCATGAAATTATCGCCAAAGTCAGAATGTCTTTCACCATGGCATATAGCTGAAAATAATAATATGTAATTATGTTCAAATACCAATGTATATATAAGATACTTTTAGATCAAAAAATTATTTAAAAAAATTCTTTTTATAGTTAAAGTTAAGAGAATCTATGTACAAGTCAACAAAA